TTATCTGCCGTTTCACTTTGGATGATGATGAGTGGGCATGGTTGACTAAGGACAGATGTAGCTGTTCACTAATTGCTGTCAGACAAGTAGAAATCAGTGGGTGAAAACGTGCAGGGTTTCACTGACGGTTATTACTTCTCAATCATGGTTTGAAAATGAAAAGAGGTCACACTGATAATTAAAAATACCTGAGTATTTTAACTAAATGTTTTATCGAATATTTCATTAATATTTTAATATTTTTAATTTCCCCATACTATCTTTCCCAATACTGTACCAATATAACATTTATTTATTTTGCATATGATTGTCCTTACACTACTTTGTCTGATGTTTTGTTCCTCTTTCTAACCTAACTTTCACATACTCCATTATAAGCCATCCTACCAATTAGGATATTAGAATCATAAAATTCTCCTTTATCCTTTTATTCCTTTTAAATAACACCTTCTTTTGGAAGATAGCACCTTATTGTGTCAAATAACACATTTTGAAAGCTAATCTAATATCTTATCTAGGGCATAGAAAAAGATTATATCCTGTCTTATCCTCATCTTTGTTTCCAATTAGTTCATGTTTTGAATTACCAATATTGTTTTGCAGTGCTTTATGTCAATGGTCATATTTTCATTTGTTATATCTATTTGCTTCTTGATAGTGTTGATATCTTCATTAGTTATTCCACAAAATATCACATTCCATCAAAGATTAATTGTCAGAATATATTTCAACTAAGTACAGTAAAACTTGTAAACTAGAACACTTCCATAAGTGGAACATTTTTCAAAGTCCCTCTGAAAGTGGAATGCCTCCCAAGTGGAACACTTTTTAGAGGAACCAAAGGTGTTCCACTTATACAGTTTCTTCTGTATCTTTGTTGGCATTTTTATGCACAAGTGACAAAGGGAAAACACTAAAAAAAATTACAAAATGAACAGAGTAAGAAAATTAAACATCTTAAAGTATAACCAACCTACCTTTGATTTAAATTATTCTAGTCAATTACAGTAGAATAAGCCAGTTTCAAATAAGCAGAACACTCACTAGAGAAAGGTGTTCAGAAAGGTGTCTACAAGAAAGATGTACAAGAGATGAGTTCACAAGAGTCAAGTAATCACAAGATGAGCCAACCATAAATATGTCATGCATACTGTTTTGTTCTATTAGTTTATACCTAATAAACCCTTAAATATGAGATACAGGTACATGCAAACAGATTTTGCCAGGTGGATTCAATTTGTCTTTGGCCCAAAATCACATGAAAATCGTCAGAACGGTGATAAAACTGCATGATTTTTGGCCCACCCCCCTGGCTACGGGCATGTGCAAAAGTGAAAAAGTAAGTTTCCCAACTGTACTTGAAGATCTTGTAAGCAGCATCTCTATAAACACATGCCATAAGATCTAGAACGCTCCTGATCTATTAAACAATCTCTGACACAATTAATCTGTTAACCTGAACAGCTTCTTCCAATTTCTTTTTCAAGGTCGCTCATCAGTTGTGTTAAATAGGCCAAGCTTCTTCGTCTTGCTCTTCAATGTTTTCTTAAAAGGATTTTAAAAGGATTTGTGACTAATAATACTTTCCAGAACACTATCATAGATTTTATATTATCTGATTATGGGATACCGGAAACACATAAATATAAAGAAACACGTTACAGTGTATGTCTCTGAGCATACAAATATGAAGAATTCTTTTGTCCGTAACAATTTTTAACCTGATAAGCAGTAACCTAATTGATTAACTTATTTATCTAGGAACCCATTCTGCCCCTTCCTCAGAAATAAATTGGCAAGAAAAGTGCTCATTTTTTGATTTTATCTCACCTAACATGTCAAATAACTTTTCCATGCAGGCCATTTACCCTTTGGATGTCAAGAATGATGGATATTTCTGTCACTAAAAATCATTTTCAGACTCAGATAAGAGCAGCGCTATTACTTTTGTTAAACCTGCTTGAATTTTGACAATGACATATTCTCATTCTTTCAATCATATAATTAATATAAGTACCCTTGAACTTTAAGGGGACCATCAATAGTGTATTCCCTGGTCTTAAGAGTGAGAAGCTTTTTAAACAGTTTTTTCTCTCTCTTCCCCCTCAGATAGTAGATAGTTTGCATACTGGCAGATGCATTTTCCCCTGGATGGGTTAATGAGTTTGGACTGTAGCTCTGTGTTGAAACACAAATTGGCTCAAAAATCTAACATATAGGTAGTTGACACTGATACGATCCTGATAATTTCAAATGTGGGTTGAGGTTAATCTACATAGTAAACCTCATCAAGATATGATGTTATGTGATTATCTGCGAATAGAAGCTACAGTCCCAATGGGGCATGGATTTGCATTGTTATATTTTGAGTCAATATATTCATTTTAAGTAAAAGCATACTAATGGATTCATGATAGCTTCTGGATTCATTCTCACTCCATTAACATGTGACATCATGAATAGTGTGATTGACAACCTGGAAAGACAGGTAAACTTCATAATGGGTCCAGTAGACTGGGCATGTAAGTCATGGTTGTGATGCCATATATGCAATGTTGATGTGAGAGAATCAGTCGGCTCCGTAGCTCAAGTGGTAAAGCACCTGACATGTAATCGGGCGTTTGTGGGTTCGATTCCCACCAGGTTGGAGTGACTTTTTCACATCAGCCCTTAGCATAGAATTTTATCCTATGTTTTCAGATTAACTTATTACTTAATATATTCTTCTTGGTACATTTCGGTCCAATCAGCAAACACCTACAATTCAAGATATGAATGTCAGAAATAGAGTAAGATATCTTCCAGTCTTCTGTGCTCCTTTAAATTCAGCTGAAACACTGCACATTTGTACCCTTTAATTCAAGCACTGATGTCAATGTCCTACTTAACTACTTTCCCGTTTTAACACTTGGGCAAATTTTAAATAAAAATGTGATTAGGAGGGATTTCATCGTTCTTATAAACGGCCACTTTATTCGCAGCTATGTCATTATTGATTGTCCTAATGTGATTTTTGCTGCAAATACACAAAAACATATTTGAAAGATGATGTTCTTGCGTGGAGTTCATATTGGGTTATATCCTGGAAAAAACAACTAGGGGAATTAATTCAAATGTACTTTGATTGGCTATTCATGATTAAATGGGATGACTAATGTCAAACACTTTATTGACAAAAACTATTTTTCTGCATTATATGTAGATATGTGGTAAATGGAGGCGGTGGTTTTTTTATAATTAACACAAGAGTTCTTATCTTCCTTTTAGATATATTCTCATGTTTCACATTGGATTCTATATATCTCTAATCCAAACACCTCTCAGTGTAAACACGTTTTCTCAGTCTTGAATTCCTCATCTCCCATTGTCTCACATATTTTAAATTCTTGAAATGTGAACACTTGCTAATTCAAACACTTTTGGCCAATCCCAGAGGTGTTCAGATCAGACAGGTTGTACTGTATTTGGTTTAATCTATTTTATTGGTGTAATAGACTATTTTTAATCATACGACTTCAAGCTGAATCATTTTTGGATATGTGTATGAGACTGTATTAGCTCATCCTCTGTGTTTGGAACATCAAAATCTTTCTTGGAACTTCATCATGAAGCCAATTACTATGCATCCGCAGTGATCAAATATTTCTTATATAAACATATTTATACTTGCATCATAAATCATCTGTATGAAATAACATAGACTTGAAGTTACATCATCATGAATAACTGAAAAAACATCATCTATCATGAGATCTACATACAGAGTATTTTGCAAACGAAACTACTTATCGTATCTATGTCATTCATTGGTCTACCAGGTCATAATATCAAATCCAGTGTGAAGGCAAAAAGGCACCATTCGATGGTAAAAAAAGTTGATTTCTGTAAATTACCAGCAATGACACCCATAAAAAAAAGATGGAGTCACATAGAGTCACAAAGTTGAACAATCCATATGAACCAAATTTTGCATTTCTGATTAGAAGCAAGAATTGACTTGTCATTGTAGGTACAATGTACAGATGAATAACTGATATAATAATTTCTTTTAAGCTTATAAATATCCTTGGAATCAGCATCCTTCAGAAGAAATTTTTCTATTTCTGTGATGCTTTGTGGTGCTGTCTAGGAAACTTCCAAAACAGCCTGAAATAGTCTCTGTAAGACATCTGTAGTGTGAGTTGCATACAAGGGTTGCCCCATCTAGGATATCACAGCAACAATATATCACCAACATGAAACCAATCATTTAGAAGTTTTTGAAAATTAAAAAATAGAATATGCTCAATGATGCATCAGCAAGAATCAATAAAAACTCTTTGATATACAAAATAATTTCAGAACTTTTTGGACAGCACTCATCGTTTCACCAGGCTATGAAGCTCAAGTTAGCAATGAAAGTGCAATGCAAAGAATAAAAAAAAGGTTTGACAGGTTGCAGATGCCAGAACAACATCAATAATACAGAGTCAAGAAACAAACCACTACTAATCTAATCAAATCCTTTTGCTGAACAACTGTGATATTAATTAAGCTGAAATAACCTGATTACTGTATTTACTTGACCAATGTCTCGGGAAATATTTTCCAGCACTTATTACTCTAAAGTGCTTTGTTAGCTATGTGCTTGTCATATAAGTGTGATAATGCATTTATATTTTAGAACCACAACCTAGGATTTTATAATTCTGATTTCTGAATCTTAATGAGATGTAACTATCATTAACTTCATTAATTAACAGAATTTACAAGTATCTCAGAATTAGTTAAGAAGCTAAGAAGAATTTGGATGTGACAAGTTATGACAAGATATGAGTCATTTACGAGGGGTGATCAATAAGTAATGGACGCTTTTTTACACAGATACTTTTTATAGACCAATCCCTTTGATTTTCCTACCAGTGATACATCATTCAATTATCTATCAATTCTGAAGATTTGAAGACAAAATATATAATACATGTTGATATATCCTTATTTCCATGAAGGATGTACAGGAACCCCGGGACCGACATTTACGTCACATATTCAGTTTTTAGCCAGTTTGGTATATTTCAGTTGGATTTGAACTTTTTATATGCAACAAGTGTTGTGTTGTTTGAAATTTTTTGCTGACTGGTATCACATAAACAGAAAGTATTGTGATGTCAGAGTGTTGTATGGAAGGGTTTGCAGGTCAATTTGAGAAAGCATTGTGGAAGAAAGAGGTGGTGAGAGAAGGGAACGCCCTACTCCATATGGACAATGCACTTGCCCACAGATCTCAAAATGTTCAGAAAACAATAACCCTGGACCTCAAAATTGAGCCCTTGGCCAATGCACCATATTGTCCAGATCTGCTCACACGTGACTTGTTCATTTCTATACTACTTATTTCTATAGAGAAAGGACGCAGGTTTATTGACATTGATGAAATAAAACAACCCGTGCAACTGCATCTTGCTACCATGTCAGAGAATGGATTCAGCCTTGTCTCACAATTTTGAGATTTTAAGAGGATGAGGAATTGTGTACTTGTAGCACTTGATGGAACCTATTTAGAGGGCCCTGTGGAATGAATGTGGCATGAATACCACATAGTGATGATAAAATATTCAAAATCAACTATGGCATAACAAAATGGGGTAATTCATGACCATAATGGTTTGTTTTGTTCAGCCTGAATTCAACTGCATTGCATGTTAAACAAGCTAAAATAGCTTCAGAATATGTGACGTAAATGTCGGTCCCGGGGTACCTGTACCTCCTTCACGGAAATAAGGATATATCAACATGTATTATATATTTTGTCTTCAAATCTTCAGAATTGATAGATAATTGAATGATGTATCACTGGTAGGAAAATCAAAGGAATTGGTCTATAAAAAGTATCTGTGTAAAAAAGCGTCCATTACTTATTGATCACCCCTCGTAGAAATGTAATAAACAATGCATCAAAAGACATATAGAGAATGTCTTATGATTTATGAGTGATATGATTTTTATTCAAAAATGGATATGATATCTGCTTGAGCAAGTAAGCATAATTTGTGTCAGATGGCAGACAGTAGAACAATGGGTAAAGGAGATTGTAATATTTGAAAATCAAAGTTTTATTTCTTATGTATGGTTAGTCTTTGATTCATCAGTTGCATCAAGGGTTGCTCCATACACTCCTTCCCATAAAACTAGGTTACCATGGCAACTACATTATCAATGAAATATAATAAAACCTTTCTAAGTAGAACACCTGTGTTGTTCCACCTGTAAGGTGTTCATTTACCATTAAGTCAATTGGTCTTGGGACTCTGAAAATGTTCTACTTACAGAGGTTTTCCCTTCACAGGTTTCACTGTACAATCTTACAATCATACAACAAGTAGCAGTTTTGACTTATGGATGCAGATCCATCTATGAGTCAAATCTCATAAAGCAACTTACTGGTTATAGAGCATAGTTTAAGAACGCATCTGTCACTTGGGACCAAATGTATGTACGTTTGCATGAAGATACCAAAATGACATTCTACGTCATCAATATTATCTACCCAATTAGATGTTGCTAACTTATTATATGATACACTATGCCAATATGAAGTAATCTCTACTAATAAGTCAATAACTGATGAAATGAAGACATTCTAAATGAGGCCACATTGATCAGTAGCCTGATTCAACCAATGTGTTATTTGACATTATAATTGCTGGTTACCATGTTGACCAACAATAGGAGATAATAACAATGTATTATCATGCTCCCGATATTTCTCCTCATTGTGTATGTTTTTTTTGAAAACTAAACATTGAAAATAAATTAGTATATTTTGATGTTTGGCCAGCAAGCAACAAATGAACATGTGTCCATTGATTATAACAGGGGATGGTTGAACCATATCTTTATTCAAAGATCCATTTTTCAACAACAACATTTAGACATCATCCCTGTCTGCCAGTAGAAATTTCTAAGCAAATACAAAACAAATAATGAATTAACAAAATAACAAAGGGGTTATTAAGTACAAATCCACGGAATTACCTGTAATTGATTTCTTGAAGATTCATCATAATACTGTCTACTACAATTAAATATTGTTATGATATTACAAATGGAACCGTCCAATCTAAACAAAATGTGGCAAGTTAAATTTGTGATTTGATGGAATAAATGGCAGATATCAGTTAACAAAAAATAGCAAAAACAGAAACATGCTCTAATACATGTATGAGGGTTCGCATACTAACAAACTAACAAATGGCTTTATTGATAATTGTCGATAAAAACTTTGGATGCGTGTAATTGTAAATAGCAAGTAAACATTCATTCAATATAATAAATGTCTGTTTATATTTTTTATATTGATCATCCTTTGATAATAACATAAATATTGTGTCAGCTGTATGTGTTAAAATGGATCAATTAAACAACTTTTTAGCATCAATGAAGCATATTTGATTTACTTGTAGGCATATGAACAACTTTACAGTTCTACTTTAACTAACTGTGCTTTACTGTAATGAACATTTGCCATAGCGTTTTATATGAATTTTATTTGCAACATCTTAGAATAATACCTGGAAAAGTGTATCAAAGTCACGCATGGGACAATCCTTCTATAAATCAACACTGTACCCAATGGCAATATATGGTGGTAAGTCACAAATGCAGTTCTGCGGTGTGTCAATTTCACAGGCAATAGCGCAATTATAGCATGATAAAGGAAGACCACTAAATCCGCAATGGAGCTATTATTATCCAAAGAACATTTGGATTCTATGGTCAATTCCAACGGTTTCAATAATGACTTCCTTCTGAGCTAATAACTAATACTCTTTTACGATAATTAAAATCCGACACTTTGAACAAATGATTCAACAATTGTTATCACCTGGGGTACATGGCTATTTAACACAGTCACGATTGTTTTGGCAGGGACTAATTGGTGAACAATTCTTATTGGATTACATTTGGAGAAAACATGCCAGTTTACGTCACTGCACTTGTTTGCTGTCATACAATCACTTAAAAGATAATCAACAAAAAAACGAAGAGCATCAAAAGTTAATTTCGAAAAGTCCTTCTCTTACTTGCCAGAAACAATAGTGGACATTTTGATCTAACATCACGCTCCAACGTTATCGTTTGCCTTAATCGCTATAGTAAATGCAGAACATGAATGCAGTTGAAGAAATTACAATAGAAACCCAATCAAAGACTAGCCTCATATATTTACCATGAATGGCTTAGCTTGATAACTTCATGATAAATTGATCACAAAGACTCTGTTACAATTATGGTTCCTGTTAGCAGATATTATATATATTATATCATTCTTTGACGTATGCCTACCAGAACCTTTTGGATAACAGCATAACTGACTCACACAACTTCTAATAACTACAAATTCTCTATATATGTATTTGTAAATTCAGCGGATCAAATACATAGAAACGGCATCTGTGATATTGATAAATAATATAACCAACAAACAAACAAACAAACAAACAAACAAAAGATGACATAAGTTAAAATAAAGTACTGTACAAAGAGAATTTCAAGCAGAATTCTTAATCAGTTATCAAAATCAATGCATACCGTGAACCAGCAACAAAACAGATTGTTTTACAGTAAACTGAGGCCAGATCTAATATAGCCACATTGCGCTATAGGCAAAGATCAGTTCAACAAGAAAACAGCTACAGTGAGGAAGCAGTGCAATCATAATGATTGTTAGAAAAGACTAGGATTTAATAACAAACCCAGCTAGTTTATGATTGAAATATTACATTAGTGTTTTTATTGTAATATCAAAGTAAACTATACAAGGTAGGTGCCTAAACATTATGATATTAATTTATATTCAGGTAGGCATTCACGATAAATAAAAGTAATTTGAGGAGATATGGTAAAAAATTAACCTGCATACACTTTAAGAAAAGCAGAACATGACAGCTAAAATAGGCATATGCATTTATTTCAATTATGAATATGTAATTGTTTATATGTAGAAAGGGGGATTAATAAAATCAGAACAGATGTGCAATTATGTAATATAATATCACAGTTGATAATATTCTACAAGCAGATAAGTAAAAAAGTTTAAGTTAAGTGAAGTGACAAAGTAACAAAAATGATAAGCATTGATATCTCAGTAATGACAATAATAAAGTATAACCTTGCCTGAATAAAAGCCAACAAAAGTATAATAATAGTCAGAAAATATTTGAAATATTAATGACCAATAACACGTTCAGTCAACTTGATATAAATTGTGATTAATGGCAGTTTCCAAATTCAATATATGGGGAAATAAGTAAAGTGTGTGGGAAATTAGCATTGGTTATTAGTTGTTTTGAATTGTTAAGAAACAACAAAAATAGAATTATCATAAATGAATTAAGAAAAATTGAAGGAAAATATGAACAGAACAAACTTAGTTTAGTCATCATGACTTTGAGTGAGCTTGTGTTTATATGATTTTGTTGAAAAAGTTTGGAAAGAGTTTTTGGACCTAAAGGCTTATTAACATTTTGCAAATTTTATTCTCTAATTAAAGACTAGATTTAAGACTAGACATAGTCAATAAATTATGACACAAACTACATTTTCAGCCTTGCTGACATTCATGTATATTCAGACTCTCATTATTTAGAATGCAATGAAAACTCTAAATTAGATCTTTTTCAGCCCTCATATTGTTAAATCCTTATTAATAGTCAGAGGGTAGTATAGTTAGCTGATGGGGATTCAGAGTAGAAATTCAAGTTAAATACTATATATTATAGAATAAGTGTATAAGTATCACGAAATATTTTTGTGAGGTAATCACTTCACCTTCTTAACCTATTTTAAGTGAAAACCTATTTTACTTACTATACATCTTTATAAGAATTGACAGTTATTAAATTAAAAATCAATTATTGTAATGAATGGCAATACACAAAACTGATGGATGTCACAATGAATTATTATATGATATAAACAGTAACCATTTTGACCAAGAACTTTCTCTTAACATTATACGCTTAAGGTAACTTATAACTTAATCAAAAAATCCAAGATGGCCGAAACCAGGAAGCACATGGCATTTGAGTATAATCTGACCATCAAAATTAACTGTCTTTTGGTTGGATTTTCTCTCAATTTTTTAGTTCCACTTATCATTTATATAACCAGGCTCACTGTGGTAATGCAAATAGAAACAGTAAACATTTTGGAATGGGAATTTGAGTCCTCTGAAAATGTGACAGAAAAATTGACAAAAAGAGTAGCACGGCAAAGGTCCCTGAACATTTTTTTTTCTAATTTCTCTGAAACATCCCTTTAATATAGCCCAAAATGGAAGGAGCTTTAGAATTTTGAAATCTCTCATACAAATTTAAAAAAATAGAAAAAAACAATTTGAGAAGTGTACTTTTTTCCTTATTTTGATCCCAATTTTTTTATCGGGTAATTTTTCAAATTTCCGTTGCTCCTTCGTTTTTGATATATGTTTGAAGTATATTTTCTGAAATGTTCAGATATTTTGAATCAGCGGTTTTTCACGGGCTACTCCTAGAAAAAAATCTTCTCAAATTCTTTAACGACACTTTTTTTTCTCAAACTAAAGTTTTTTTGTTGTTCTTTGATGTCTTTGTAATGATTACAGTGCACAAGCATATGTGAAATAATAAAAACGACTTCTCAGGAAGAGTTTGAAAATTTCAAGATTGTGAAATTTTCAATTTTTTCTGAAAATCGATTAAGTTAACAGTCACCTTAATATGATATGGTTGGTTGCATTAATCAGACAGGCCCATTCTGAGCTGGTTTGTTTGTGTTGACCACAGTGATGTTTACCATTTATTAAAGAATATACCATAGTCTTATTACCTTGACTCTTGGTTCAACTGGCTAATAGAAAGCCGTCGTGTTAGTTATCTTCCAATAAGTCATGGTCTATAAGGAAATTAGCCAAATTACAAAAATGAGAGGCAGTTGTTATTGTTGGTGATGCCACATTTAAGTAACCACACAAATATATAATGTTACATATTAAAGAAGTCACGCATAAAAACAATATGCTACATTTTATAGTCATGCAAACATAATAATGATGCCAGATTTAATAGCCACAGCGGAACACATGATGAGGGGCGAATCTGAAAACTAACAAGGGAGCATCCCAAATTTCAAGTGTGAAAAGGATTTCTGCACTTGCGTGGAAAAAAATTAATAAAAAAATTAAACCCCATCGGAGGCACAGATCTCACAAGATCACAGAGTGCATTTTTCAAATGGATTTAATATTCAGTTGTTCAATTCTTGGAGATCACGTGAAAATCCCTAACTTAATGATGAACGAAATATTATCTAATCCCCTTTCTAGGAACAACGGATAAACATACATGTAGATGTAGTAGGTTGTTTCAGATAAACAGTTAAGGCTTTAAAATGTGTTGGATCCGTCAAGTGTAATGTTTTATGTCTTACAGCTGACACACCTATGTACTAAATATAGTACATAGCTCCACACTCAAACTTATTGTTTACCAAACAAAGGCATAAACATGTACATTTGTATTTGCTAAAAGGCAAACAGATACTAAATGTTGATACCCATATGCCACTTTCTGAATATACAAGTACACTATATGTGTAAAACAAATACAGTAGAACATTTTTATTGGCACCTTTTATTTAATAAAGGTACACTATCATCAATTAACGCTCATAATATATGAGGGTTATGTTATGGGAGATTTTGGATATGAGGTATATCCTGAGGGAAATAGGGAAATTTCCTGAGGGATATACCCCACATTCAAAACTGACCAATTAACCAACTGACCAATTTTCTAAATTCAAATCATAAGATCGTTTGTACTGAATTTGAATATTTTGATAAAGATGTCAAATTGTCACTTTTTATTCTAATTTTCAATTACAGGTCAACTAATGTTATCATGCAATGGTATATGTTATATTATTACAATTTCACCTCAAAATGATGTCAAATATACTCTGGCCAATTGTTAAAATAGGTAATTGTATGTTAACAGTCACAAATATTCTACTCTGGATTTTATCCAATATTTCAATATTTCCTGGATTGCTCCACCTCAGTACAAGGTGACATTCAAAGTAGAATATTTTGTGGTATCTAATTATACATTGCATATATTATATACCACTAACAACTCAAAACCCCAGTGACGTTCCTGTATCATAACTTATGAGAGTGCTTCAACGCAAAAGAAATTAGCACACCATGATTGATGACATAATCTTCAGAATATTTGATATAGACCAAGAATGAATGAGCTTGAGACTTTGATTTCTATAATACTCCATGCCCTATTATATTTTCCTCTAACAGCAATATTCAGTTCAATGAATTCACCAATTATAGTATATGTCACTAGGCATATAGAAGATGTCAATTGCATATGTATGGGATCCTTAATTCATATTTGAGCAGTTGTAATAATTGATTGTTTAGAATGTGGAATATTACACAGATACTGAATGATGTGGAATTAGATATCTGTATACAAACGTAAAGTGGAACACCTCTGTAAGTGGAACACCTCCATATGTAGTAGAACACTTTTAACAGTCCCACAACCGACTGACTTACTGTTAAATTAACCTCTGTAAATAGAACGTCTTCTAAGTGGAACACTTTTTAGAGGTGCCAAAGGTGTTCCTCCTGCACAGGTTTTACTGTATGTCTATGAGGTTGTGACAATGACAGAATATTCTGTATAGTCCATACAGGTAAAAATGTGATGAAGATGAGAAATGATTGAGGTTATGATTTAAATTAATTTTGTAGTTGAAGTCTTGTATTTGTATTTTGCAGTAACTTTCTTTCATGCCTTGTCTATGGCATTTGTTTATAAAGCACCAGTATGTTATTTTGACTACAGTTACCTAGTAATTGAGAAGGAAGAAACACATATTTTTGAAAATCCACAAGATTTGAAACTTCACGAATACTTGGAGTACTTTTAAAATGATCGACACCTGCCGAGGCCAAAAATGAAAAACATTCACAAATCAAGATTTGATGAGTCAATGTACGATGTTTGCTATAATACTAGAAAATGTTGTCACACTAGAAAATGTCATTCTTAGCTACAACAATATTTTTTGTCAATATTTTCCGATTGATTTATATCCTGTTATAAGATTTATATTGGTTAGAAGTGTTATGTGGACGTGATCATGGTCACAGTCATTCTCCATGATCGTGAAGCTATCAATCAACAATATCAGGAAAATGAAAACTTATATGCAAAAAGCACAAGTAGCAACATTAAAAACAACCTAACAAATACAAAATATCCATGAACCATATGGAAACATGAACCAAAAGACCAGAACAAGGGAATGTAATATCGAAATCACATGCTTAAAAAATAAACCAATTAAATAAATCAAAGTTCAACCTAATCTATTGCTATTTGAGTATCTTGTGGGTGCATGCAGTGTCTTCAATTTCTATAGGCATTTTCAAAGCCTCATTTCAGTTCAGAAGATCAAGACATCTTGCCCCAGACAAGATCATATATCTGTCAACGAAGAAGATATATATCAAGATTTCTTGAAAATCCTAGATTTACCTTTTTTCTAATTAAACAAAGCTGGCAGTTATCACGTTGACAATTACGACACTGACAAATCACATTTACAGAAATCTTAATTTATCACCGTATGTACAAACTGTAGAAGAGGAGGATATCATTTTATTTACTATTTGTTGAAAGTATCTAAATTACCTAGTCATAGCAGAATCAATTAATCTAGCTTATACAAGTCTTGCATCTAGCCCAATTTTAACT